TAAAATCCTACTTAATATACATTGGTTAAAATTAAGAAAAACTAAAACGAATATATATTTATCATTGATGTACTCAGGATGACTAAAATAAACTTTATAAATGCACAAAGTCTCTAACCCTAATTATTAAATTGAGATATAACAAGGAAACAATTGATTTAAAAATAATTACTTTATAAATTTAATGTGATTATTTTATAACATGAATATTAATAACAAGTAGTGAAGAAATATATTCATAATTAAGTGCGAATGCTTAATGCGTCATCATTACGTTTATACGCGACACATTATCTTTTATAGACATTCTTAGATGAAAACGAAATCATGTATACTGAACGTAACATAAATCTTAAAACTATAGTTGGTCTTTCTTCCCACTTATTTTTGCTATCTAATCTATAATAAGTTCTAAATTTGATCATTCTTATTCATTGACAAAAGTTACTACAACGACTACCAATATTCAAGAAATATCACAACGCAGTTGTGGCTGTCACTAGAAATATATTTAAAAATAGAGACCATAAATATAAATAAAGATAATTATTTATAAAAATAATTATTAACATCATGAGTACATTTAATAGATGCAAACGGAGGAGGAAGACAGAAAGTGTAATCTACAAGCCGGTATTTAGAATTCTTAATAAAAAGACAGTCTTCTCATTAGTCAAAACTTTACCTGAAAGTGAAAATGCTTTTTCAATATATACATTTCCATAGGAAAGTGAGAGTATAGATTAAATTAAGTTAGCATGAGGAAATTTTATGTCATTAGTTGATTCTTTAAATATTTTTTAATTTAATAAGTTTCTATTCGTAAATTAATTTTTCCATGGAAAACTTCAGCGGTAAAGTTTTATAAATTTTAATAATATTTATTTTTTAGCTTCTATGTGAATCTAAAAAGGTATTAGTTAAATAATAGTGTGGGTTTTTTTTATATCTATCCATAAAACTGTTTAGCTCTCACGGGATCTATTTCAATGATCAATACGTCAAAAAAGAATTCGATTTTAATTTAGTTGAACTTATCGTTTCTGAAATTGGAAAATACCCCTTTAATTTAAGAAATTTAAAAAAATATCTAATTTCAATACGATATACTAGAGATGATAAGCTTTCTTTCAGTATAGTTTTTACAAAATTCCACTAAAAATTTAAGGACAAATAGGGTTTGAAAGAGACCATCTACACTTGTATAAAATATTTTTTCAACTCTATTTTTGAAAAAGTTCCGGTAGGTCTGACAACTTCTAACCTATGTCAAATTAAAGCTTCTAAATATAATAAAACATAAAAAAAAATTGCCCGAAGATTGTTTTCTTACATAATATTGGCCGTCTAAATACAAAAAATCGCAGTTAAAAAAAAAACATGTTTATATTATTAAAAGGATGTATAAAATGTAAAGGAACAACGTTTAAAAAAGTTTCATGTACTTTATATTCTTAAAGAATAGTAATTTTAGCAAAAAAGTATTGGCTATACGATTACAGAAATTTCAAATGCATATGATAAGATAACTCAAATAATAAACATAGCCATTAAATGGTTGAGTGGAAAAAGGAAACAATGTCTATTGAAAGTTTTGGTTTTCTGTTATTTTTTCCATTCAGCTATTCAATTATGGAATTACAAATATACAAATTATTGTGAAATTTAACAGATTCGCATCGAATCGTTTTTTATGATACTGATATTAATTGTATAATATCACATATATTTGTTCCCCAACTATGCCGTAACCCAATAGACCGGCTTATTAGAAATGCTACGGTTTTTGGTATTTCAGTTGACCATAAAAATCTTGAGTACTTTAACATCAAGTTATTAAAAGTATTTTAAGTAGATTTTTAATTAAGTGTTTAATTATAGCTAGCTATATAATGTGCTTGTACACCGTTTAAAAACTCAGTTTTTCTACTTCATAGTAATTTTTATTTTCTGGTAAGAAAATCAAAAAAGTTTTTTAACGGTTTTTAACTGTGACACGAGATAGTAAAGTAATATACAAGATATTCTCATACTTGATAACATTACATCTAGTTATTAAGCTAAATACAAATATAGTTATAAATCATTTGTTTAAAATTGATAGTCAATGTATTTATTCAAATAGTATAATATAATTCAAATAGTACAATAAATTATACTTCATTATACAAATATTTTATAATAAGCACAAGATATCAATAAAATATAAATTATAATATTTTTACACAATGTAAATAATTTTTAAGAAAAATGTAAACATTCGTTAAAAAATACGGTCGAATTTCAAAGAAATATAAGAGTATATTTTATGGTTTTACAAAAAATACTAAAAAAACATAAATCTTCGTAAGATATATAATTGAAATTTACCTCTAAATCAGATTAAAAATTGAATATTAAATATCATTTAAATGTTTTGTCAGTTAAACAACTAGTTCAAGACGTGTATAGAACTCGAAAAAAATATTGTAAAAATGAAATTTTATTTTACTTCTTGTTTAGTAATTAAGGGTATCCATTGTTATCATTATTTATAAAAATTGACCTGTTTCCTTACATTTTGATTACCCTGATTGGAGGAGCAATAGAGAGATTACCTAATATATTTTCAGTCAACAAAATCATCCTCCCTAATTAATCTTATATACTCATTCCTTGAATTATTTTATTTCGTTTTCTTTGAATGATTTCCAAATATGGCCGTGTTTTAAAGTAAAAGATTTTTTTTTGTTCTAACTTAAAAATACAACAACAATTAAAAACAAAATGATGACGTTGAAAATTTAAACGGTTTGAATTAGTTTTTTTTGGGACCATGTGTATATACATAGACAAATAGGAAATACTACACACAAGAATAGAAATGCACGCGTTATTTTTGCGTTACACATTCCATTAAAAAAAAAAAAAAAAAAAAATTAATAAAAAGAATACAACATACAAGAACACTATGTATTTGTATTATTTGTATATTACGTAATCTGTTTTTATCACGATCTAAAAAAATTGCCTATACTATTTTTTAAAATTAAAATGTCGTGTACAATAAACAAAATAATGAAAAATATTTTTCAAAAATATTATTATATGTCTTATGATTTTTTAGCCAATCTTACTTGTGTAAATATTAAATTTAAAACTTCACATTAAATTATACATACATATTAAAATATAGGTAAATAATAACCTGGAATCATGTTATAAATGAATTTAAAAGGCCTACTTATAATCTATTTAAAAATTTATAACATAACTGAAGGTCCAAATTTGTGTGTTTTATGACACATAGAGCGTAATACGAAATTTTAAAAATTTATAATGACTTAGTACACAATTAAGAATTTTTTCAATTAAAGTTAACGGGTTTAAAAAAAAAAATTGTAACAATAAAAATAAGCTAAGCATTACTATTATAAATTAAGTTGTTTTGTATAAAAACTATTACTTAACTTAATTGTATAATAATATAAATAAAAATTAAAAAATCATGTAAAATAAAATAACAAAAAATACTAGAGTGAAGGTTTAAAATTAAGCTTATTTAATAATATAAGTCAATTATTTATTTATAGTTTAATTGATATATTTTTAATTTAATATTTAAATTAAGTTAGAATAAATTAAAAAATTTGTCATAGAAAATTCTTAGTGATATTAAAATTATGTTGACAAATAAACATTCAATTTATTATTGACTACTTTCTTATAGCAGCTAAAAAATGTTATGTGCTGTTCAAAGCTAGAATCCTATTTTTATTTTTTTGGTAAGTGATATTATATACAAATTTAAAGAGCTTTAACTGTGATTAAGTACGCTATAATAGTGTAAGTAGTTAATATACTCCCATAATGGTTGGTAAATTTTGGCCCTGGTGCTGTTTAATTGCTCAAATTTTAATGTAACATATATTAATCATAATTTTACGAAAAAATTGAGTTTTTGTATTTATCAGTTTCTATTCATAGTCTAACCTTTTTTTTGAACAATAAAAAAAATTATATAGAATTATATTATCTGTATCATATACTAATCTTATGAAAGTAAACCAGAAACAAAGTTATTGTACTACAAAATGAAAAATTTAGAAATGTAAAAATTTATTGGATACAATATGATATACTAGAAGACTAGTCTAGTGCACTAATTTTATCTCTTTGAAAATAAATTGTTATATATTAATTTACCTCTGATAGGAAATGGTTTTGTTTGAACTGTATCAGTATTTGGAGGAAGATGGCGATAAACTTGATTGTTTTCATCCTTAGGTGGTCGATAGTGTTCACTACAAAGTTTTACACAGTCACCATTGCTGAAATCGGGGACCACAGTTTTAACTACTGAGCTACACACAGACATTATAGTATTAAGAAAAAGACAAATAAGTTTTTGGTAAAATTATATTAAAATACTATGTGAAGCAAATGACACGAAAAATTTACTAGAAATAATCATTAAATTCAATAAACAACTTTATAACACAATACACAGAAAATTAACCAATAACTGGAAATATATTAAAAGATCACGGAGAATAATACCAAGAGAAACAGACCAACAGCACAACCATACACGGCACGCATAAGAAATTATTTAGCGACAAGTTTTAGAGCACTAACGTGCCGAACATTCTTGATGTTCTATCCGAATTAAGGCAAAACGAAAAATATTGATTGATAAGAATTATTTGTGATAATTTTAAAGGTATGAACTTCGTAACGTAAATTAATTAATTAAATGCTGTTGCTAAGAAATAAAACTACTAATTTTATCCACTGATTTAATTTATTTATTTTACATATAAATTAAGAACTATTAATAATGAAAATCGATATCAAATTTATAAATGCATACTTTTTTATAGCATGTTTTCATTAGTAATAAAATTTAATTATATTTTTTCTTCCATGTATGGCCTTGATTCAACACCTGCGCTAAACGAAAAAAAGTTTAACCGTTGATATATCTAAAGCTATCGTATTATCCTGTTGCAATAGCAGATGCAAGGCATAATATTAAATAGTGATAACTGTGTAGTTATTTCATAATATCATAGAAGAGAATCCAGGGTCATTGATTGATATCTATCTCGATGAATTAATTTTTTTATTATTTAAAAAGTTATAAGTGTTCTCATTTTCTTACACTCAACATATTTATTAATTAAATATTAGTAATGAAATTTGTGAATATTTTACGATACATAATAAATAATTTATAGTTGGTATGTAGTAGTAAAATAATTAGTTTTTATTCTAATTACTAGGAGGGTTGTTATGTTTTAAGCTCTGCATGTCAAAAACATAAAATTTCAGAATTTATACTGGTATTAAGGGTTATTTTAAACAGTTTACTTATGTTTTAAACAAGTTTGTTTTTAACAACTCTAATTACTAGTGCGGAAATTATCATACTATGGCTTGCCTTATTATGTATAATTATTAATAAAAATATTTTTCTTCTATAATTTATCAAGTAATTATTACCAAGTCTATAATTTTAAATAATTTAATTTTATAATATAAAATTTGTTTACTTTTAATTTATAAGTTTGTGTCAAAGATGGAAATAGAATGAAATTTTGGTCCACGTATCAATTTTAATATTTTCTTCTATTCTTCAATTTGTTATTTTGTAATAATACATATAACTTTATTTAATTTTTTTGGGGACTAAGCTTCTCTTTAGCTCTCACTTATTTGGAGAGTGGTTTACTTGATAATCAGTGTTTTATTGAATATTTTAATTTAAATAATTTTTAAACACAATAATCCTTTTTAAGAAATATTTATTGGTAATAGTAAATTTTTATAATAGTAGGAAAAAGTAGCACAAATACTTTTGATGCTTTAATTATTAAAGTTAATTTAAATTGTTTTTTCTTTAAGTCTCATAATTAAATCTTAGGAATAATAAAATTAAAAAATAGATGAATATTTTATTAAAATCATAATGTTAAAATAATAAAGAAATATTTTTATGTAAGTAGTATTTTTTCTATTGTCTTAGAATATTGTGAGTTTTTCAAAGAAAAGATTATATTTAATTTTCAACTAGAATTAGGAAATTATTTAAAATTTAAAATATTACATTTTATACATTGAGTAAGAAGTTTATAGACATATGCAAAAAATTAATGTTTTTAATCAATTAAGAAGAAGATTATATATTGAATATCAATACATAATTATAATAATGATGTTTACTAACATTAATAAATTAATAAAACTTAAAATTATTTTATTCTTCTTTTTTTTTAAGTTATCTAAAATAAATTTTAAAATATAATTAATTTTTATATTTTTTCCAAAAAATGTGTTTAATAGGATTTAAAAATGGCCTTACCAGATACATATAACAATAAGGAGTGGCTACAAAAACTCTTATCCGATGTTCAACTTGAACATTTTATTACAAGAATTACTGATGAGTTACAAGTATGTATTTTTAATATTCTCATTAGTAGGAGTAAATGTTCTTAGTTCAGTTTTATTTTAATATTTACTGCAGTAAATAAAAACAAAATGTGTACATCAATGTACACACTAGTTAATAGAGATCTTGTTTATTAAAAAATCTAATCCATTTAAGCATTCTCATTTCTGCTACATTCATTCTCTGCTCTATTCTCTTGTCAAACACTCAACACACTGAACCATGCATAATTGCTGGTCTCACTAAAGTTTTTATAGAACTTACCTTTTAGCCTCAATGGAATTCTCTTATAGAATAACACACTAGACACTTCTCTCCACTTCACCCACCAGCACTTAAATATCTATTTTACATACTCTTTCATATAACTGTTATTTTGCACAACTGAACTTAAATACTAAAAACTTTTTACCTCTTCTATCATGACCATGCTTATTGTCACTGATCTCCTCATTTCACCTGCCTAGTGTTTTCCTTTGTCAAGTTCATACTTTATATTCTACTATTTATGCTTGATCTCTTCTTTTAAGAGCTGATCTCCGCATCTCTAAACTTTGATTAATTTCCTCCCTATTTTCTCCTATTAACACTGTATAGTCAACAAACAACATGCACCTGGGAACTTCTCTTTATATTTCTCTAGTAATTTCATCCATCACTATAGAAAGTAAGTAAGGGCTTTAATTAATACCTTGGTATACTCCTACTCTTACCTTAAAATCTTCTATTACTCCTCCCACACTTTTTAACCTGGTACCAATCGACACCACAGTACTATTCCTCCATTCTTTTGGCATGCTTATTAAAAAATAATTGTTTACATAGATCACTCGATTATCTCATTTTGAATATGTCAAGCCAGAAGATTTGGAAAATATTGGAATTAGTAAACCAGCTGCTCGAAGATTGTTAGAAGCTGTTAAAAAACGCAAAAGTGCTGAACGTCGAAACAAAATATTATCACTTTTAGGAGGAACTCAGGCTAATAAACAATCTACCGGAACTCTTAAAAAAAATACAACTAATCAATCCTTTGGACAAGCATTGTCATTAACTTGTTTAATATTGGAAAAAGATCTCAGGTATATATATATATATATATATATANCATGTTATAAATAAATTATAAGCCATGTATTTACTTTTTAAGTATGTGATAATAAAATTAAATCTTCAACAATTTGATTCTAAATTATTCATTTAATTTGTTTGTGTTTACCAACCCTGCTAATTAATAATTCTTTATTGTAATTTTTTTTTATTATCAGACTATCTGAAAAAATTGGAGATGGTTCGTTTGGTATTGTAAGTAGAGGTGAATGGAGTACATCAGATGGCCGTACAGTTCCTGTTGCTGTTAAAATATTAAAACAAGATGTACCATCAATGCCACAGTTATTTGATGATTTCGTTAAGGAAGTTCAAGCTATGCATTCTCTTGATCATGTGAATCTTATTAAGTAATTAATTTTAAAAAGTTATATAAAAAATGTATTATTTAAGTTAAATAAATTTATGGTTCTGAAAAAGCAAAATTGATGTTTCTTAAATTATTTTTGCAAAAATACAGAATTTATCAAAGCAATGAATTTTCTGTCAATTTTGTCTATTACAATATAATAGATATATGTATTCTTATTATTTTATTTCATTATTTTTTTATAAATTATTAAGTTCTTATTTATTTACCTGTTTTATGCTTTAAATCTTTCTTCTTTTTCCTTGCCTTAATCCCAACTACTTGGGGTCGGGCTAGTTATGTGCTTTAAATAATTTTAAAAAATATAATCAATATTTATTTTACTATATGCCCTTAGTATAAATTAAATTATAAGTTTACTATAATAGTGAGTGGACGATTATTGGCATTGATAATGTTACTAAATTATTTCTATAGACTCTATGGTGTTGTATTAACTCAACCAATGATGATGGTTACTGAATTAGCTCTATTAGGAAGTCTCAGAGATTATTTAAGAAAGCAGTGTTCTCATATTCTAATAACAATTCTTTGGGAATATGCTCTTCAAGTAGCTACTGGTATGGAATATTTAGAAAAAAAACGATGTATTCATAGAGACTTAGCATGTCGAAATATTCTATTAACTACTTCTAATCAGGTATTTTAAATGAATAAATTATTTGCTTCAACCATTTAACTTAACTGCTTTTATTTAAGGTAAAAATTGGTGATTTTGGATTGATGCGTTTATTACCCATGGAAGAAGATTGTTATGTTATGACTGAACGTCGAAGAGTACCATTTCCATGGTGTGCTCCAGAAAGTTTACGTACTCGACAGTTTTCACATGCATCTGATACATGGATGTATGGTGTAGCTCTTTGGGAAATGTTTACATTTGGTGAAGAACCATGGGCTGGATTAGATGCCACTCAAGTTCTAACTAAACTTGTTCGTGAACGGCAACGACTTGAACAACCAGAAGCTTGTCCAATCAATTTATATAGATTAATGCAACAAGTTAATTTTGAGATAACATAAATTTTGATTTTTTACTTATATCTGTTTTATATTTCAGTGTTGGAACATAGATCCTGGGGAACGTCCCACTTTTAGTGATGTTCGAAATTATTTAAAATCTCATTCTCCAAATATTATGAAAGTAACTTCAAATTCATCTGTTACTGAAGAATATAGTGATAATTTAAACCATTTAAATGTAGACATGGGTGACAAAATTATTGTAATTGATGGACAGCCTGACCATTTTTGGTGGAAAGGACAAAATATAAAAACATACCAAATTGGCAAATTTCCTAGGTATATTAAAAACAATAATAAGTATTGATAAATATAAATATAATATTTTTTATAGGCGGGCTGTTGATCCAATGCGGCCAAAAGCATCAGATGATATTAGTAGGCCACTTCGTAACTCATTTATACATACTGGTCATCATGGAGATGCTAGTGGAAATAACTGGGGTTTCCATGATAAAATTGATCAAGTATATTTAAACAATCCCATGGATCCACCTGATTTGTTAGGATCTCCCACAGTTATCGAACCAGGTCCTCCAATATTACCAAGTAGAAAAAAGTCTTATTCTAAGAATAATAATGATGCCATAGAGAAAAATTTTAAATCTAAAGAAGAAAAGTCCAAAAATACTGTTTTTAATTCTATCCTTCCATGTAATAAACAATTTAATTACTCAAAGCTCACAGAAGAACGGAAAAGACAGTTGAGACCAGCTCCTGGTAGACCACCAGGTCCATTTCCTAAACAACCAAATAACGAACAAATTTTATTGGATTTAGATGATTGTACTCCTCCACCTGTACTCCACAATCATAATATGCCAACTGATTCAAATTTTTCTCTTCTTGATCAGCCAATTGATGTTGCAGAATGTAATATTTTATTATTTTTCAATAGTATGTTTTGTAAAAAAATTTTTTTTTTTTAGTTGGTTCTTCAGATAGTCATGACTATCACCACACATATATAAATATCGAGGGATTAGATACTGAAGAATCAATAAAAGATCCATTTGATACCTCTAACATTAACACTCAGCTTCAAGGACCTACTCATAGTACACTTCCATCTTCTATTGTATCAAATTTAAATTTAACTGACATTGTTAGTAGTTCAGAAAAACTAGATCTTAATTTTATTGCTGAACTTGAAAAAAATTTGGGTCAAAATGAGGCTAATGCAAATAGTATTAGACAAACAATACTACCACCACCTGAATCTATTCCTAAAAAATTGAACACCGAAATTTTAAATGCAACTATTCCTAGACCACATAGTGCAAACTATACATTTTCAAATGTGGCTGGTTCAACAAATTATTCCAGCACTATTAATGACATTGAAAATTATGTACCTAAGTATACAAATGATACAAGATATGTAGAAAATCTTAATTTAACAGAAAACATGTTCAAAGAAATGTGGATTGGTGATATTCCTGGTGCAGGAAAAACACATAACTCCAACATATCTAATTTTTATAGAAATGATTTATATACTAAGAGTAACACAGAAAATATTGCAACATCTTCTAATTATAATACGGTGTATTATAGTCCTGTTGACATTTCAACTAGTAGGTATTATAGCCCTACACCATCGGTCTATCAAACTGTTCCTGAATCTAATGTATGTATTAGTGTTTTTTCATACTTAAAGTTTTTAAGAATGTTTGTTATTAATTAAACTAAATTAAAACATTTTTTTCAGTCTGAATCCACAGTTATTCAACTTTGTAATTATTTCAATAATACAGTAACAGAAAATGAATGTTTGGATGCACTAGAAGCAACATCATGGGACTTTTGGGAAAGTGTTAAATATTTAAAAGTTAACAATTTATTAAGGTTAGTTCTAATTTTGCATTTTCCTTGACAATCTTATTATTTACATGTGAAATTAAAGTTAATTCCGACAAAAAGTGCCATGTATCACATTTAAAAAGTAAAAGTAACTTTTGGGAAAGTGTTAAATATTTAAAAGTTAACAATTTATTAAGGTTAGTTCTAATTTTGCATTTTCCTTGACAATCTTATTATTTACATAAACCTAAAATAGTCACATAAAAGTTACAAATATATATAGGGTGTATAGTAAGTTAGGAAATGGGTTTCTATTGTTCTCATTGTTTGTAACAATTGATCCGTTTCCTTATGTACTGAACAGCCTGTATACATATATATATTTATATATACACAGTGGCATGGATCAAACTCTTATTATAATTTATTTATCCAATAATGATTTTAATTCATTTTTTAAACAAGTTTTGTATTCATAGACTGTTAAAAGCATATTTTTTATTATTTATTTCTAATATTAAAAATAAAAAATAAATTTTTTTATTTAATATTTTTTCAACATTTTAAAATATGTAGTTTTTTGTATTTTCCTTACAAAAGTGATTAATGGGCCAATAACAATTTTAGGATAAATACTTATTGAGTTACAAACATTTTAATACATACGTGTAGGTATATTGTGTGAGAGGGTATTTATAATGCATACTCCATTTACATTACATACCCATTCTGAAAAAAAAATTATTTTAGTTACATTTGTGTAACTATTTACCAATACTGGTCCAAATGTTGTTATCGAACAGTCATTTTCTTAATCACATAATTTCTATTTTATAAGTTATTTTAATATATACAAAGTGGAACAGATCTAACTGACAAATCATATAACTTTTGTGATCTACATAACATTTTATACTTTTTTTATTTAAATCAATTTTTACAATATAAAATTATATTTAAAATATGTTTTATGTTATTTTTCGCAATTACAAAAATTATTTTAAAAATTAATTTTTTTTTTTTTTTAATTTCTTTTAAGATTTTAAGATAGCCATTTTATAGATAAGTTTTTAATAAAAATTTTGATACCAAAAACTCTTATTTTAATTTAGTAGTTACGGTTATACAGCATTTTAAAGTTTGTTAAATTTTGATTTTTTTTACAATTTTCCAATGGTATCAAATGTTAGTCCATATTATGTAAAGTAGAGAAGTAAATACTTATTACGTTATTTACTAATAACAGTATGCGATTTCTTTTCGATGAAAATTATTGACATTTCAATAAGTATTTGTAATTGACTTAAAAAAAACAAGTAGTAGTATAATTAAGATTATTAAAAAAAATTATAGAAATATTGTAAAAAACATGTTGAGTTTTTAATTAAATAAGTTCGTATATCATAAATTTAAACGTGAATAATTATTCACATTATTAATAATCAATAAGTGCATTTATTATTAAATCTCCTAACAAGGAATTTCCTATAATAATTAGATTACCAAGATTCGGAAGTTTTAGCAAATGTATATTTTGCTAATTTTTGCATGTTTATAGTGTTTGGTGCTATTCTGCTAATTTTTAGGTTTAAGTGCTATTTTTAGCTAGATTTTATATATATATATATTCAAAATAACCAAAATTGTATTGAGAAGAAATACTATACTAACACATAAATATAATGTGAAAACAAAAATTAACAAGTATTTTGATTATAAAATGTGATATATTAAAGTTAATTCCAACAAAAAGTCCAATGTATCACATTTAAAAAGTGACAAAATAAAAGGTTTAGTCCGATATGAAAATCAAATAAATCGAATACAGCAACAATTATTGACATTGCATATTTTTATGCTTTTAGTGCTATTTATAGTCCTTATTGTAGTGTTTTAAAGTGCATATTAAAGTGCTAAAAATCTATTTTCTTAATGCTATAATATCCGATCCCTGATAATTACAATAATAGAATCACGCAAATAAATAATTGTTATCACTTTTAACTTAGCTAACCATGGAACACTCATAGTTGACATACAATAATGTTTCTAACTTTTGTAATAAAGGTTAGAGATAAGCATTTTTATATAAAGCGCTTTAAATGTTATTATTATCCATGGAAAAGAAATCACATACTGTTACTTTTTAAATGTGATACATGGCACTTTTTGTCGGAATTAACTTTAATTTCACAAATTTTACAAAACAATACACTTGCATCGATTGAAAATATATTAGGACCAAATTCATTAATGTAAGATTGTAGCCGACTCGATTAACTTTGTTTTACTTATAGCATTTTTAAAATTAACTTTAATATATCACATTTTATAATCAAAATACTTGTTAATTTTTGTTTTCACATTATATTTATGTGTTAGTATAGTATTTCTTCTCAATACAATTTTGGTTATTTTGAATATATATATATATAAAATCTAGCTAAAAATAGCACTTAAACCTAAAAATTAGCAGAATAGCACCAAACACTATAAACATGCAAAAATTAGCAAAATATACATTTGCTAAAACTTCCGAATCTTGGTAATCTAATTATTATAGGAAATTACTTGTTAGGAGATTTAATAATAAATGCACTTATTGATTATTAATAATGTGAATAATTATTCACGTTTAAATTTATGATATACGAACTTATTTAATTAAAAACTCAACATGTTTTTTACAATATTTCTATAATTTTTTTTAATAATCTTAATTATACTACTACTTGTTTTTTTTAAGTCAATTACAAATACTTATTGAAATGTCAATAATTTTCATCGAAAAGAAATCGCATACTGTTATTAGTAAATAACGTAATAAGTATTTACTTCTCTACTTTACATAATATGGACTAACATTTGATACCATTGGAAAATTGTAAAAAAAATCAAAATTTAACAAACTTTAAAATGCTGTATAACCGTAACTACTAAATTAAAATAAGAGTTTTTGGTATCAAAATTTTTATTAAAAACTTATCTATAAAATGGCTATCTTAAAATCTTAAAAGAAATTAAAAAAAAAAAAAAATTAATTTTTAAAATAATTTTTGTAATTGCGAAAAATAACATAAAACATATTTTAAATATAATTTTATATTGTAAAAATTGATTTAAATAAAAAAAGTATAAAATGTTATGTAGATCACAAAAGTTATATAAGTCTTAAGTCAGTTAGATTTCTTCCACTCTGTATATATATTGTTAAAAAATAATACAGTTGAAATCCCTATAAGATATATTTAATAAACATTAAAAATATATTATAACAGATACAAATGTGACTAACAAAAGCAAAAAAAAATTATTATTTTTAAGAGATATTTACTAATAGTAAGGTAATTAATATTGTGAAATATAAAATTATGATAATATATATCTGACATTTAGTCGTATAATGTTAATAAAAATGTAATATAAAATTTATTTTTTATAATTTTAGATTAGGAATGGCATCAAAAGAAGCATGCATAACAGCACTGAACAATTGTAACTGGAATGTTGAAGAAGCAGCATCCACATTGTGTGATTCAGTGTGATACTAAGTTTAGTAAAGATTACAGTTAACTATTTATTTTTACGTTGTTATAATGGTTTAATATTTGAATTAATCAAATAAAAACTAATTTTTTCATGACTGTTATAAAGTTAGCCTGTGATAAATATTATGACCATTTGTATTAAAATAAAAACAATTTTTTTTTTTGTTATGTATTAATAATAACTCTGTCTATTGGTTTATGTCAATATTAAAATATTGATACTGAAATGTAAAATTACTCAACTACTTAAACAGTGAATTTTTTTGTAGTTATTCTTAAGAAAAAATCTATCAGAATATTTCTTAATTTATATGTATTATTAACAATGATATTATTATTGTTAAAACTTAAAATTACTGCATATAAATAACTATCCAATGACTTAACAACACTTATATTAAATAGTTTTTAAGTTCATGCAATCAGTATTAATCTTTTACAGTATAATTCTCATGAACAAATTTTAGTAGTTTCCATTACTATATTTAATGTGTTTAAATGTTATACATATTTCTAAAAAATCAATAAACTTTTATTTTTTTGTAAAAAGCTAATAATAAATCATCTTTTAAAAATTTCTATGCTCCAGAAATACTTTCATAATTATAAATGTTTCATTTGTAAAGTATTATTTTGCTAAGATCTTAATTCATTAATGCATTTTATTATCAATGTCTCTTAGAGCCTAATATTTAAAGTTTAGTAAATTGTGCTTTAAATGAATCATAAATAATTGAAATTAGTTACTATTAATATGTATCAATATTTTACTTATGTGTATTTGTCTAATGTATTATTTATATCCTTCAAAGTGTATTGTATTATGATATCAAAAAGTTAAATTTATTATTATATTGTATATTATGTTGGCATATGAATGATTATCTATAATTTTTATAATTAAATAAATTAATTGTTATATGATAATAATAGCAATAAATAAAATCAGTGTAATTTTTATAATTTAAGGACTTTAACCCTAAACATTAAAATACTGTAAATAAAAAAGTCTAACACTAATATTGAAAAAAACCTGAAATAAAAAATCATGAACACCTAAAACCAATATCCTTAACAAAATTACAAATTAAAGACACTTCTATTATTATTTTGGAATAGAAGTTAATTTTTTACCTCAAACAATTTTTTATGACCCTACACAGAGTTAAGTTAGGAATTCTTCTTTCTTCAGTGTACACTGGGGTTCGATTGTATAACACTTGATAATGTATTTATTTCTGTATAAACAATAGGTTAAAAATAAAAAGGAGCTAACTGTAGTATTTTAAAGTGTCTCCTCTGTCATGTTATATGCTCTACATGAGAATTCGTTATTTGAAAAGTATAATATTGTCTCCTGTTTGTCTAAGGGCTAGTGTCCTTAATGGAAAATTACTGCAGTGATCTATTATCAATTGATATACTTTATACTGAATGCTATTTTACATTATTTAAGTTTATTTTTCACAATGCAATTTATAGAAAGGGGGCAAGGGTTGTAATGACAAGTTATTCTTGGTATATCTATCTATGATCACGAATAATATTTAGGGTGATTTTTTAAGTGCATTATTTTCACAGATATATAATAAAACGTTTTATTAAATATCTGTGATTATTTAAAATATAAGTATATTATAATACTATACTCAAAAAATATTTTATATGAATGAAAAAATTGAGCTTTAAAACTTTTTTGTACAATGAAGACTTATTACTCTAACCTTGTTATAATTTCACCAATCATTGAAGCCTGATTGAACTTGGAATTTTACTCCAATAAAAACCGGTTTTATCATATTTGCACTATTTAATTGGTTAACCTGATATTTACTGAACTAAATAGTAATATTTCGTTTTTCAGTTGGTAGTCATGTGTAAGATAGTTCAGAGTTCAGTTCCCTGACGGAGGTTATATACTTGCTGTTTTTTAAATTTATTAAGTTCAATTCTTCAACGACATTGTGCGTCCTTGTTATTTATTACCTCAGAATTCAACTCTCAAAATTATTTTTCTTCAATTAATTAATATATATTTCTTGTATTAATTTCAATAGGTAAATCCTAAATATTTCTCAAAATGACTGAACCATCACCGAAAAAGTCCAAAAGTTCATGTCTGGCTCAGTTAAAGAACTATACCGTTGTCGTAGCCGACACTGGCGATTTTGAAGGTATTACTTTGAATAAATTATTTTTTCAGGATACTACAATTGAACATTTTTATTTTATTATATATTTGATTAATAAAATTTTATTTAAACCTTTCACTTGAATATGTTGACCTTAATTATTATCTAATAACCTTGTTGATCATTTAGTTTAGATTAAATTAATACTTTATTAAACTGTTTAATTTATATATTATTGAATGATTTTACTGTATAGATATGTACTAATAAATAATTATAGTTAAATAAAAACAAATTATAGGTTGATTAGATAAGGATGATAACTGGCATTTCAAAAGAAGAGCATTTTTTAGAGCACTTTTTCCTAATAATTTATAAGATTAATAATCCTAGATCACTTTTATAAATTTCTATTTATTTTCTAGTATAACTATCTAATATTTTGCTTTAAGTTATATATCATAAATATAAATGTTTATTTTTATTATATTGGTCCACTTCCATATCTTAGCCATTAAATACTGATATCGGTTAAAATCAGATAATATTTGTGTAAATTCAAATTATAACATGTTGAATTAATAAAGTGACTTAACTTAAATCACATTAATTTTTATCAAATTTAGTCAAAATTATTATGTTTATATTATTTTTATTCAAAGTTACTTTAGTTAGTTTTAGTTATAGTTGTTAGAGAGATAGGCAAGAACTGCCTATGCACTCAGACCTATAGATCCATCGTGTACACTTCCTACTGAATTATATTAATTCTGTTTCTTCAAAGAAGTATTTCCACCAAAGTGTTATTGCCATTGTTGAATATCTAAAACTATATATAGGATGTTCTACTAGGCCACACCTAAATATATTAAAAAAGTCCTGTCTCTCTAGCAAAATTAAGTATCTCTTTGGGTTTTAGGTTTTTGATATCTTCTTTTTAAGAAAAGATTTAAGTATTTATATGTTAATGTGGTTAGAGTGTCACATTCAAACATAATGTGAAGTGAATCTTCTTCTGTTTCATACTTCCTTCACAGTGGTGATTCTATCATTCCTATAGTGTAAAGATGCTTGAGCAGATGACCATGTCCTGTCAGTAGTTCAGTTAAAGTATCTAATTGATATCTAGTCATGTTATTAGGATCCCTCATTAGTAGACCGGGAGTCTTGGTAAACATTTTGAATGTATGGGTATCAGTAGGTAACACTATATTTTTCTTTACACCAGTTTTTGAGTAGTACTTTGAGGGATTTCTCCATGAGTCCTACCACTGGTTCTGGTCCAACATAGGTGTTTTCTGTACCTTTCCTCACTAGAAAGTCTGCTTTTTCATTACCAGTCATACCGCTGTGTTCTGGTACCCATGCTAGTGTAACTTAATTGAATCTTGGTAATGATTCTAAAATTTCCTTACATTCAAGGACTAATCTTGAAGTCACTTATTTGTTACTGACAATCGCTTAGAAAAGTCATGTTCCTTTCTTGAATACTAGCAGGTACTGAGCCCCTAGTAGTATTGCCATTACCTCTGCTTGGAACATAGGGTATTGTGACATTAACATGCTGATATTTATGTGGGGTTGTAATCCTCAAATGTTAGCACCTACCTTTCCTGATTTCTTGGTGCCATTTGTATAAATTAAAAACCCTCTTTTCCTAGTCAGATATATTATATTATATTATATTTTGTTATATTCCAAATACCATCATACATATCCTCTATTGCACTAATGTACCTTTTTGGGTCTCTTTTTCTCANTGCCATTTGTATAAATTAAAAACCCTCTTTTCCTAGTCAGATATATTATATTTTGTTATATTCCAAATACCATCATACATATCCTCTATTGCACTAATGTACCTTTTTGGGTCTCTTTTTCTCATTAATGCCCACTTTAAAACCTCTATTATATGCTTTCTCCATATTTATAAATACCATTTTTATTAACGACAATGGTAAAAATGTTTTTCATGTTTAATTATATCTGAAAAATATAATTTAAAATTTGTTTTCAAACTAAAATATGAAGAATAATCACATATATTCAAAATTTATATAAAATGAGTTCTGAAAATTTAGACTAGTTTTTGCATTGTATTTTTCAAATAAAATTTTGAAGGTTAATTATGTAATTTTTTTAGCTATGAAAAAATACCAACCAACAGATGCAACAACAAATCCAAGTCTCATTCTGGCAGCAGCAAAAATGCCTCAGTATAAAGATTTAATAAATAAAGCTCTTAAATTTGGAATTGCTAATGGAGAGTGAGTATTTCTTTTTTTCTAAAACTTGAATTTAATTGTCAGGCATTTTTATTATTATTTAATAATTATAGTACTTGTAATTATATATATACATATAGTTAATTTTTTTAATATCAGGCTAAATATTACATAATTTTACATGTATAAATTAATTAATTCTATTATTTCAGGTTCAATTAGTTATTTTATGACTATTTTTATTTATTGGGTCATTTTTATTAATTAAAAGATAATATATTTAAAGTTTACTAGGATTCAACATATCTAAACTCCTCACTGAATGACTTATCAATAGAGGCAAACCAGAAATTTGAATTTGATGAGGATAGAATGAATATACAATTATAAACAAAATATTTTCTGATATACCTGTATAATTTTATTATGAAAATTAGTTTGGCTGTTTATTTTTTGTAAAACTAATTCTTAGCAGACTATAATAACATAGTTTAAAAATCAAATCAGTAGGTGATAAATACATATTTTTTAATAGTTCCATTGAAGAACAAACTGAAGAAGCTATGGATCAACTTGTTGTTTTATTTGGAACTGAAATTTTATCTTTAATTCCTGGACGAGTGTCTACTGAAGTTGATGCAAGGTGATAGATATAAATTTTATTATACAAGTAGTTTCAGTTTTAATGAAATTTTAATTGTATTCTTTAGATTATCTTTCAACAAAGAAGCTAGCATTGCTAAAGCCATCAAGTACATTAAAATGTATGAAAAAGCTGGAATTAGTAAAGACCGCATTCTCATTAAACTGGCTTCTACTTGGGAAGGCATTCAAGCAGCTAAGTTAGTAGATTAAATTAATGTTTTGTCACACTGAAAAATAATGCAAAATTTATTTAAAAACATATTCTTTCATAATTTTTTAGAGTTTTAGAGCAAGAGCATGGGATACATTGTAATTTAACTCTATTGTTTTCTTTGTATCAAGCAATAGCATGTGCTGAAGCTGGTGTAACTCTAATATCTCCATTTGTTGGTCGAATTTTAGATTGGTAAATAACTATAAATTAAAATCATTTTGATTCAATAAAATAAATTAAACAAAAAGAAAATATGTTTAGTCTTATAAGTATAATTTTCATAATAAAATAATCACTAGTATTATGGTGTGTCATTGGTGTAATATTTATTCTTAACAAGTGTAATATGTTATTATACCAACTTAGTTTGACTGACTGAAATTTTTAATTTTTTTTTTTTTATGTTATTGAAATTAACTATACTCGATTTTACTAACATTAGACTTTATTGATAAAATTTAATTTTTAGGCATGTTGCAAATACTGACAAGAAAATATTTGAACCTTTGAAAGACCCTGGTGTCATATCAGTAACTAATATATATAACTATTTTAAGAAGTTCAACTACAAAACTGTTGTAATGGGAGCTTCGTTCCGTAACACTGGTAAATTATTTAATATTTGATGTTACATGAATTACGATTAAATGTTTAATAATGAAAATGACAGGGTGATAACAAATTTTGACCCATTATTTTTAAACCTAAGCTACAATCTAGCTAAAATATATGTAAGTATATTTTTATACTTAGGCAAAAGGAGGGTAGATATAGCTAAGAAATGTCTTATGATAAATATTGTAGTATCCTCGCCTCACCTCCAGTCTATATTTTTAGATGGTAATAATTTCTAAATTAATTTGTCAAAAATTGCATGAATGTCTTAATTGTTATCAACCTGTCATTCTCTTAATTAGATCATTTTTTTTATTTTAAGCTTGTTAAAAATATATGCTACCAATAAAAAAATAAATTTGACATACACACAAGGTGTGAGGAACGAATTAAAAGATTAATTATTAACTGATAAACTAAGAAATATATGGAACTAAAAAATACCAAAAATATTTTTCTTAACATAACAATTATTTTAAGAAAAACTGAGTGGCTATCATTAAAACAATTGCCTTGTATTTAAAATGCTAATGCTTGTATTAGAGAGAATGGAAAATCTACATAGTTCAGTGCAATCAAATTTTACCCTAGTACCAAGACACTATGGTTTTCTTTGCTGAATTGTGTATAATTATTTCATTATTGAAATAGATTATTTCATCGTCCTAGTCTTGATGAATTTTAAATAATACATTATTATAAACTTTTTAAGGTGAAATCAAAGCATTAGCTGGATGTGACTTGCTCACAATTAGTCCAAAATTGTTGGAAGAACTAGATAATAGTAACGATCAACTTACTGAATATTTATCAGTTAAAAATGGTATGTATAAATATTACTGGTTATAAGGTTATTTAAAGTAAAAATCTTAAAATAATCTTTTTTTGAATAAAAAATTCATCCAACATTGTTGACAATGTCAATTGTCTTCAAATATTTTTTAATTAATTTATCATGTTCATTTAACATTGTTAATTAAGTAATTATTGTTGTTGGTGCATTTAATTAGGTTAATTGTAACAACATATATATTATATTCTTTATCAAAATGAGTTTAAAAAAGTGTCTCTAACAAAAAATCTTAGTGTAACATTTCATGAGTTAAAACTAAGTTACAAATTTTATTTCTAAAAGAATTAATAATGTAGCCAGGAATGTGTTTTTAATCAACTTTTCTTTGTCTATTATAATGTTATTTTGTAATTATTTATCCCTTTTTTTAATAATTAATAGGCAAATCATCGGATTTAGAAAAAATTGAATTAAATGAAGCTAAATTTCGTTGGGAAATGAATGAAGATAAAATGGCTACTGATAAACTATCTGAAGGAATAAGGAATTTTGCTGCTGATTCTCGTAAACTTGAAAAAATTTTAGTAGAAATGTTAAAAGAAATTAAATAAATACCAATTCTAAAAGTATTTTACTTAATGGGATCAATTAGTTTTATATGTGATTTATTTGTATAAGAATACATGTAGAAAATTTATTAAGTATGTTATATCTTAAGATATTATTAGAAGTTTTTATTTTGCTAACCAAGATATTTAAAATTATATTTTTTTTGATACTTCTTTGATTTGTAGTTTCAATAAATAATATTCATTTATATATAAGTTGTAATAGCTTATTTTATATTATGTTGAACTTTTCACACATTAAATTTACAAATTATGAAACAGTAGTCATATATCTATTACTAATTTGCGTTTAGTTTAAACGCTTAATTTTCTTAAATTCAACAAAATTACTATTTGTTTTAAGAATTTTTTTTTATAAGAATTTAAAATCGTCTTTTAATTTGTTATTGACATATTCAAATTTTTTACAAGAAAAGTTTTTAAAAAATATCTATTTTAAAATGTTTACAAAATTAAAATTATTTGTTATTATTAAAAATTAATAATTAATAGTATAACTTTAACATAGTTTAAAAATGGGTAAATTATTTTAAAAAAAATTATAGCGAAATGTTATATTAAAAGTTATAATAGTTAGTTAATTAATTAATATGGTAGACTGATTTCTTTAAAATATTCTGGTTTAATCAAAGATTTGTGGATATAGCATTAAAATGTATTCATTTTCATTAATTAATTGGACTACAAAATTATTGTTTTAAGAGCATATCAATTTACTATATTAGTTTGAACATACAATAATATATTGAAAAAGTATGGTTGACTGATTAACAGTAGGGAAGTATGATTTTTGCTGTTAGTATATAATTTAATTAAGCAATAGTTGTAAATGGTTAGATCTTTTAATTTAATTTAGATTGAATTATAGAAACAAATATAAATTGCGCCAAATCGTTGCAGTCGACAACATGACACTCTGTACGGCTGTCGTGTTTATCTTAGAAATAACCATATCATGAAACGACATCGTTTATTAATATTAAAAATTATACTTTTAATATATTTTTTTGATTTAATTAAGATACAATTAAATTTAGTGCCACGCTTCTATAGTGCTGTTACCAGTTATTGTAAAAGTCAAAATGGCGCCAGTTTTTTAATTTTACAGCAGTCACTTTCTTCATTAACATTTTTTTTTATCTCTGAGCATTTCAAATATTTGGGGGAGGGTGATAGATATTCTGTGCGCAATAGTCATTCTCGAACTAACAGGATTTGCGTATGTGTATCGACTCTAACCCTCAATTGCCTATTGGCCATACTATGCATCACATGCAAGTAGAGTATATATATATAATGAGGGGCTGTGAAGATTGTATTTTTCACGGTCCAATGAAAACGTCGCTCAATACACCGGCTTAACAGTTATGTACAGTACACACCCAGCCTTTCACTATAAGTGGATCGTGTTTTTTACACTTCTTCTGCCATCATTTTACACTTGAAAGTCTGCTTCTTGAAAATTATAAAATACAATATTGATATAACATTTGTAAATTATTTATTTTTAACGTGGTGTTCGCAATATTGTTATATTATACAGAGGTGTATTTAGAAATTTATAACGGGAGAGCACAATAAAAATTTTTTTATGGATTAGATACGATAAAATTTAGACTGCCTTTATTTTTTTGCTCACAACCTTTGTCAATAAGATAGCTACATAAAAATTACAAAAGGAACACAAAAAATACATATATGTGGTATTTTTATGTTTCTTTTTTAAGCGAATAGCATGGACCACTCTGTAGTTATTGGTTTTGACAAATCTAATAATTTTTGATCTTCTAAATATTTTGCATTACATTTTTAATGTGAACTCGTATACCTATAGCGTTGGAATGCCTATTATATGTGACGGGTTAGGGGACCCCACCCCTGAAAAATATAAGATAGTACCTTTTCTAATTTAATAGTCAATTTTATAGTTTTTACCTTAAAGCTGCAGAGGGTCTGTACTAATTTAGATAATAATCAAATTTAACATAGCGGACAGCTGGTAAAGTTTTAGGTAAAAAATAATAATTTCATAAATGTATATTCTACTACGTAAAATTACTTAAAATGTTATGTGCTAAAGTGGTAAATGTATTACAGATAATTCCACATACAAATATGTTAATTGTGCGTTTGAAATGTTACCAAACTAATAATGATCACACGGGGTCAATGTAAAGTTTTAGGAAATTTTAAAATATAAGTACCAGTTTATTTCCAACAAACCGGGTGCCCATTATCAATTATTATCAGTTTATCATTACCGTACAAAATGTCCGCGTTATGCAAATGAAGCAATAGGCAGTACAAAGTGTGCATATTTTACACATTTGTTATTATCATAGATGGGTGTTTACTATTATCACACAAACGTTGAATATGTATACTGATACTTACAAGTCTTTTCGTCGCTGCAGTCAAATAAAAAATATCCCCACTGAGCAATTCGCCAAAAGGAAAAGATCTAAGGGCTTGACGAGTGGGCGGTGGTAGTGCGGGACAATCGGCACGCGCGATCGCACGTGCATGCATTTTGGCGGTGACCACGGGCAGTGACAAGTTAATTTGATGTGAAATGAAACCCCTCTCATGTGGAGCGCCAAAAAGAGAATAATGCAAGACTTAACAGGGGCTGCAAAAAAGTTTTCACACCGAAAACGATCGCACGCGATTTAGGCGCGTCTGACAATAACTTCACACGTGTCCGCCGGTTCTTTTATGTATGTTTTATAAAAATGCGTGTGTGTGTGTAAGTATCGTTTGCAAATGGAAACGATTACTTTTGTATTATTTTACTTTTTTTATTTAAGGGAGCGAGAGACACTTTGACGTCTCAATTTATGCATTTATAGCAGATACGCGTGCCGCTTGTAATGTTACACTTGATGCATTTATTGTATACGTTAAACAATATTTGTGTATTCGTGTTTTGATTTGACACGTTTCTTTCGTTTGTTTCGCTGTTGACATCGAGCGATAAAAAAATACTTTGTTATTAACGATTTGATTCTACCCCCGTATCATATTAACTATTAAAAACTAATATAAAAATGAATAAGCGTGTGCGATTACACTTGGACTTATTCGTGAATTACAATCAGACGTCAGCCAGCAATATCACGATAAGCAACATGAATCAGTAAGGGTTCTTAATAAACTCATTGATATACTAGTAAATTTTATTTTTCTAGGAGTGACGTCAGTTGAGATAGTGATGTTAGCGAGTACGATAAATTTACCTATAAATAATTTAAGGTAAATTTAACAGCTTTTATTTTATCGGTAAAAAAAAATTTACTTACTAAAAAGTCGTGTCACACGACTTGTGTGACCTTTTAGATCAAATTTTATCGATAAGTCATACGATTAGTTGCCAAATGTGTACTCGATAAGATTATTAACCATCAATTGCATTTACTAGACATTTTGTCATTTTGAAATGAAAAGTTTTCAACATAACTATTTTATATGATTAATTTTTTATTATTCTTCATAATTATATTGAATCATAACTAAAAAATTATCCAAAGCATTTTTTTTTAAATTTAATCTAAAACAGTATAAATAAAATAAATAAGTTTTCAGATATATTGATTTTAATTAAACCAAATTTAATTAGAATTATTTAACAGTTAAATAAAAGATTCTGTTTTATAAATATATATATATATTTATTCTGACATAGATAAAATTAAGTTTATATAGCTGAAACCCAAAGTTTAAAATTTTTACCATTCTAAACACTTGTCTCAATGGTATCTGAATATAAATAAGTATATCGATAAAATTTCAGTCTTAAGTTAAAGTCTATATATGTTTTAAGCTTTCGAATTTTGGATTCACGAAACATTGTAATTTATGCTATAAATTGAAATATAAAACTACTGTAATCTTAAATCAAAACATTTAATCGTCTTGAAATCTTGACCAAATATCATAGAATAACAAAATTCTGCTTTTGAATGTGGAAGATTGTGTCAAAGATATTAATGATATTTTTTATAATTGATTAAATTTATTTAATATCACATTCTTCGAAATTTACAACTTATCGTCACAAAATCTAAAATTTCATGTATTAATCTCGATAGTTATATGTTGAAGCAGTAATAAATTGTTGTGTTATTAAAATTATTTATTAATATAACCAATACAATTTATTAAATATACCATATTTTTTTAATTTATGAAATAAAGATTATAAAATTGGCGAAAAATGTAAAAAAATAATTCAAAATTTCATGTTTTAGGAAAAAATTGGTAAAAAATATTTTATTTATGTTCAGTAATAAATTATCATTAGCATTTTAAAGTCTGTGAAAGTATGAATTTTTGTGTTTTTTACAATATCAAACATTATAATATATGAAAAAAGGTCAGAGAAAACGAAATATTTTCGTGCTGAATACTAGTTTTAAGTATGCAACTTTTTTTATGAAAATGATCTACGCTTGATTGAGCATCTCTAAATGAACTTAAAAATTTGATAAAGAGAAATAACAGTATTTATTTATTGGTATTTCTAGTCAAAACATAGCCTTTGTTAATTTAAAAAAATAAGATATTTGATATGACAATCGTCGTTGGTTTTCTGATATACAGAAATTGATAAATTTTCAATTAATATAAATAATTGAAAACTTGCAATCCTAACGTTCCTTATAATTGAAATTAACTATTTATTTTGAATGTTATAATTTATTGCAATAAAATAAATTTTCATTTTTCAGTTATACAATAGTTTGCGTTGAACTTAGCTAATTAGTTATAACATTATAAAATACACATAATACTTTTTAACACGAATTATTAATTATGTTTAATTTTAAATTTATAAATACGTCGATTATTAATATTATCAAAGTGATTGGAATTTTCAAACATTAAATCGTTTTTGATCAAATCAAAGTGTGATAATAATGCTGATTACCAGTTGTTATTTATTCTGCTAAAATTCTTAAACTAAATTTAATTAACTGTATGACAAGTTTTTTTTCAATAAAATTAATTTATAAAGTGAAAAACAGTTGCATATTTATTTTATTCATATTTTCTATCAAAATTATTTAAATAAAACAGTCGATAAGCCTACTAAATATTTGTCTATGATTTATTATAAAACTCATCTAAAGAAGTAAACGAATAAAAATCTTTAGTTCTTAACAATATGTATAAGATGATACATAAATTAAATAAAAAATTTTATATTTCTTTCTTTTTTATACTTTTATGAAATATTTGGATAAATCAACACATTTTTATTTGGTATTATAATGTTCACATTATTTTCATTATTTTAGGTATTTCATAATGTATTAGTGTTGTTTAATTAGGCTTTTCTTACTAAATATTCGCCAGTTTAGAAACATATTGAAAATCTAATGAAGTGTTAATTTTTCCACTTCAAATACTCGAACAAAATAGCCTGCTTTTGCAATAATGTTGGTCCTTGAAAAAACTAGCAAAGGAACAATGTATTGATATTTATATAAATCATATAATATTGGACCAGTACAATAATTTAAGTGCAAAATATTAAAATACAGTAACAGCACAAAAGGTGACTGTCAATGGGCATTAAATATTTAAACTACATTACCAACACGCGCAAAATATTGTGTCGTAATGATAACGGGTTAACACTGATTATGTTTTTACCAGGGGTTCAAAAAATTTTGACACGTACAATTGCACGTATACTATTTTTTACACTAATATATATGTTTGCTAATTATAATAATTAATTAATTGAACTAATAAATGTACTATTGCAATATATTTCATCTCATGAATGAAATGTTATATTATAAATATTTAAATTATTTAAAATGTTTGTTGCTCATGTTTAAAAAATAAGAAAAAAATATTTTTTTACAATACATAACAAAAAACAATGATATCATGTTTCATTTATATTTGAAAAATATTTCTTTGCTCATAGGGATTGTGTAAACGTTTGGGCTGTTGAATGGTGACACATTCAATTGCGCGCTATCGACATAATTGTTATGTTATCGTCATGCCAAAGGTTACAACTACTTTTAAGTAAAATTTAATAATAAGTTTTTGATAGTTATAAATTATAAAATGTATTTCAGGTCATACTTATAAATTTCACCCCGGGGCCCCGATTTTTCAAAGTAAATCGAAAGTGAACCAAAGGTTATTGCTCGACTTTGCTAACTGTTGAGGCCACAGGAGGCACGAGGCCCTTGCAGTCGTACACCTCTGGTACTGAATGCTTTTTTATTCTCGTAGTATACTTTCTTCATTCCAATAGTTAATACCAAGGAGCTTTCTTGTACTATTTAATATTAATAAAAGTAAATTTATAAAATTATATTATGCTAAAAATAAATTTTCTCGAATTCGTATCATAAATAATCTAACTGATAAAATTCATAAAAAATATCAGAGAATTAATAATTGTATGAATATATATATCACAAATATCAAATATAAACCTTTTTTATTACCAAATTAATATATTAATAAAACTGTACAGTCACTCTATGGGTGATGTTAAAATATTAATTGCCGAAATGGATTTAAAATTGCATCACAATCAATATCTTATTAACTCAACAATTTTTTTTCTCGAAAAAGATAGCAATGAAAAAAATATATGTCGAATTACTTAAAAAAATTAATTTGTTTTAAAAGTTTCAGAAATACTTTGTTTCTTTTAAAATTATAAGAAAATTATTTTTATTGAAAAATATAAGATTTTTCAGGTTATACAGGTTTCTATCGCCGCCTTGGAGCTGATATGTCAACTGTGCTGTTTGCTGTTGATTTTACAATGGATAACCATACGGGAACTTTAACAGTAACACATTGCCCCTATATTGGCTTCTTCAGCCATAATGAGTTGGGGTCAGGTCGGCGCTGGTGTAAAAATCTGTCAAATGGCAAGGTAGAGCTGAACCCAAATAGTTGGGATAGAGGCAAGGAGATGATGATGATAACTTGTCAAAGGAATATTCTAAGCGAAGCAATTTAATTTTTTTTGTCAGGATGTCAAATATTTTATTTTTGTCAGATGCTCTTAAAATTAAAGCTATGTTAGGAATTGGTACTTCTTTTAATTAGGAAATTTTTTCTCTACTATATTGAGTTGCCGTAATTAAAATATGGCATCGTATAAATATTAAATTTTTTTTATAAATGTACTAAGTTTATTTTATGATTACCCAACGTAATCGACTTTCGATTAGTAATAATCGATAAAATTGTAATTTATGTAGTGTATTCTATAAATACGCTAAGACATCGGTTTTTGTTTACAATAGAACATACAAACATTAGGCTTCAAAAAATCAATAAATTACTGGTAGATATTTGAGCTCAATTTAAGTAGAAAACATGAAACGTTAATATAATATTAAATAATACTACATTTATAACAACTGTTTAAATATAGCTAAGTTTGTAGAAACAAAACCATTAAAAATGTATATTGTATAAAAGCTAAGATTATTTGTAATTATTTCCATAATTAATATAATTTTTAGCATTACAGATATTAATTGTATTGGTAAATATTTTTTGTTTTATAGAGAAAACTTATATTTAATAAATCTTATAATTAATTAAAATGTTATGATTTTTTTAGATTTGTATTATAATAAAATGATATCATTTACTAAGCTCACAATTATTGTCTTTTGTGTATTCGTTTTAAAAATTAATGCAAAAGTTCATTTTGACGACTCAGATCTATCAGGTATAAAAACAATTCTAATAATAACTGCAAAAAATTACAAACGAAACCTTTAAATAAAAAATTTATTCTTTTAGTGGAAATTAAACTTAAAAACAATTTACATTAAAAAATTTGTAATTAAAACTTTTAGCATTATATTCAAAAAGTTTTTTCTGACATATATTTAAACCATCGATATTTTTGTATATTACTTAAATATTAAAGTGTTTAAGTGAAATAATATATATGTAATTTATTTTTTATTCCTTAGATTATCTTTGAATTTATTTAGTCTCATAATTAACTATTTTATCTCATAAGATTATTTATAACTAAACATAATCTAAAACTGAAGATAGACTGATGGTAGCATTAGAGATTTTGGGCCTCTGGGAAAATTATCAGTGGCTGATTTTTAACATTTTTCAAGAGGGTGTTCAAATATAATTAGTATTTACAATATTTAAATAAACCTTTGAAATTTACCTCATATAATACACACATATATATATATATATATCAGTGGTCGCTCGTGGGTGCCGGTGTTGGGGAGGAGACTTTAAATATAATACCGTCATAGGTATAAAAAATTGTCAAATCAAATATAATAAAATAAAACACAATACACATATTATTATTTTAAAGGTCGCAGTAGAAAATACTTCACTGAAAAATTTACTCTACTTTACTTTTTGAACATTCCTCGTATATAAAATTTCTATATTGCAAATATTTTTTAGAAATGGCTCATTCAATTAAATGGACAAGTAAATCGCATTTAAAACTAATTAATTATTATTTAATTGGCAATGATATGAAGACTACTAGTGTGTGTATAGATGAAGTGGGAGATCGTGTTAAATAGAGGCTTAATATATGAATAGCTGACTCCAAATAGTTGGGTTAAAGACAAGAGAGAAGAAAAATATTATGTATATTATAGTATTATATATTATTTTATAATATGTATACTATAAAATGACTTACTTATCTAATTTTATTTTAATATACTTTCGAATTTAACTTCTTTTTGCAGATAATTTACTGGAATCAATAGATAGTTCATGTAAGGTCATTTTTATAAATATAAAACTTTATGACTTCATCGTACATAAGTTTTATCATTAATTCATCACTATTAATACACATATACTTTTATTTCAATCATACATCGCGGGTCCACCGTTCAATTTTTCTGTATAACTGCTTAGTAAATAATGGATGGCTTATCAAAACAAATAATTGGTACTTCCAATCTTAACTAACTAAATTAAATTGATTTTAACTTAAATTTCAAATATTTAAACATTTTTAAGACACAAAGGTTAAAAGTTGAAAAATATTATAAGAACCATAATACAAATATGAGTACTATATGCTATAGTTTCTTAACACGCCATGAAATTTGAAAAATTACATTTATTATTATATAAAAATGTTTTTTAAAACATTATATTTAAGACACCCAAAAATGTTTAACTATTTACGGTTATGATAAGAACAAAATATTTATTTCTATCGAATTATCAAATTAGAAAAAGATCTTAACTAAGAAAGTTAAATGTAAATCCTTAAGGATAAGCTACACAACTTTGAGGAGTTTTTTTAAACCTAATAAATTTTTTCTTTACAAATATTAAAAATTTCCAAGTTTCTGAGATAATGTATAACTTATCCTTAAAAAAACGCTCTGTATATAACGAAATACATGTTATGATAAAATAAATTATTATATTTATAGTTTGGTATATTAAAATATATGTTAAATTTTTTTTTAGTTAGATTTTTTTTGTTAAATAGAATAATGATAGAAAACCCAAGTGAGAATTTTCATAGCTTAATACTATTTATTTAAATAAATAATAAGATTACTTTAAATAACAGACATATCAACGGAGGCTAATATTAAGTGTAGGTCGATAAATTTCAGAGAAGTATCGGTATTTTAGTAAGCGGATACTAATCGAGTTAAAGGTTCGTTTTTTAAGTCGTAGTAGAGTAGGCAATACAAATTGAACAATTATTTTTAATATTTTTTAAAATTAAAATTATATGAAAAACATTAGTTTAAAACTAAAAAATATTACTCAAGAAGTCACAAAATATGACTAGAAAATCGCGAATACGTATTTCGGGAACAATGTTATTATTTTAACGCTAAACACATACTAACACTTCCACAAAAAAAAAAAAAAAAACCCTTATATACCCTTAGTGACTTTAATATTGAAGTAATATAACATTTTGCCACTATACACAAGTTTAATTTTTCAATGGACCAAGATTCCAATTAATTAAATTGTTCTTATTTTTAAACATATCTATTGCCTTGCTTACAGTATTTTCTTTGTAATTATTTACGTTTTTAATTATTTTTATGATTTTTAATGTTTCTTAAGTGTTTTTAAACCTGACCATATATTTATATTTATTTTTCTTATATAACATTAATTACTAATTTTACATTGTATTTTATAAATGTCCTTCTTCTTCTTTATTCTTAGGATTTCCTAATAAATCTCTTAAATTATTACTTTTAGATGTTACTAAAGTAATACTAAAATTCTTAAAAATTCTACCTAGTTCATTTGAGATGCCTGAATAATATAAAATGGGTGATAAAATTATTTTTTGTTTCTCCATGCTAGTAAGTGTACTAGTTGTCCTCCTTTTTTTATTTCACTTTTGTGTTCAGACTAATTTTGAAATTATGTCTTCGTTATACTCATTAAATCTAACTATTTCTCTTATAAACTTCCGTTCTTTATGAAAATCTATTTTAATCATAAGAATATTAACTAATCTGTAAACCATACTATTTAAAGCTGTCATTTTCTCTTGTCTGCTGTGGTTCGAAATATTCGGAATGTATCTGAACGTGTATGTGTTTTTCCGATAAATTAAAAAAATTATTTACCCCTCCTACTCTTTTAATTAATAAATACAAAAAAGGCAACTCTCCCTGTACTTTTTATTTGTATGTGAATTTAATCGACGGGTAAAAATAATTTAAATGTGCAGTTATCACAGAAATATTTTATTAAAAATAAAACAAAAATTATAACTGAAAATTAATATTTCAAAAATGACCACTTTGGATCACTAAAATAAATAAAATCAAACTGCCACCTTGACACAATCAATATAGTAAAAAAAAAAATAAATAATATACATAAATAGACTTTCTAAACTGCAATAAGAATCAGTAAAATTTATACAAAAATTAAATTTGCTAACTAAATAAATAATATAAAATTTATCAATTAATGAATAATTTAAAATTTAACTAAAATAGAATATGTCCACTAAACAATTTAACATAACAATAAATAAAATATAAAAACTCAACATCAATGATTATACCCCATTTTTGACGCTCGTATAATAATTATTAATTTGTAAAAATATATTTTCTAAATAATATTTTAAAACTCAGTTTTTTCTTTTTGTAATACATGTATAACTCAACAAGTGTTTATAATGCCCACTCTAATAGTTTGATAACTGTGAATGTTAAGAAATTACTAGAATATTATTAAGGGGATTTGATTAGATCTCTTTCTCTGAATGACTAGTTGCTCATTCAAACTCAAATATCAGGATTCCATTGACTTAAATGTATTCCCTTGCCCTAATTGCGAGAAAAAATACTCAAAATGAATAAAAATAAAACTTGCTACAATAACTTACAGAAACGATGAATTGTATGTGCACACTGGCCAGATACGACAACTAAAACTCTATTACAACACAAAAAAATTTATACTCAGCTAAATAATAGAATAAAAACTAAATAATATTATTATAAGAACTAGGAACAATAATTTACAAATATCTGCTCAAACTACACTTAACAAAATATATAATACAAATACAAAAACAATACATCAAACTAAACGATAACACATACACTAATATTTTACAAAAATTTTTACTTAACCTAATGTTTACAGAGAGAGAGGAAAAAGAAAACAATTGTAGTCTGGGCCGTGACTTGGATTAGGTTTAAGTGCTGGCTTCATTCATAAAGCACAGCACATAATTCGTTAGATCCTTAACATTCCGCTCCCATTAAAGCAGTGTGCTTCAACCTTGTTTGTCTTCAAATAGAAAAGATAAACTTCCACCAAGGGTCTTTTCATCTCGTGGACTTTTGAGGTTATAATAGTAACCACTCGAACTGTTCCGTTTTCATCGGGGTGAACCTTCACTATCTGCACTAATGACTATTGAGAGGTGGATGTCCTCGTTGTCATCCTTTAATATTATCAATGAATCTATCTTAATGTTAAGTGGTAACTACAGCCACTTTGATCTTACCTGAATTGATGAAAGGTAATCGGTCTTCAAACGCTTCCATATTCCTTGTGTTAGCTTTTGAGTAAATTTCCATCATTTTAACTTACTTTCTGTGATATTACTAAGATCTGGCTTTGGAACAAATATAAGTTGCCTGCCTATCAAAAAATGTGCAGGTGTCAAATCTTGACAGTCTTTTGGGTCTGACAACATGGGCATAATTGTTAATACCGGGCATAGTTCTTCAAAGTTCAGATTGTGGTTTCCTATAGTTCCCTTAAGATAGTATTTAAGATATTTCACCCCTGTCTCCCAAATGCCACCAATGTTAATTAATTAATTAATTCTTTTGGAATGAAGAATCCTTTACTTTGCTTGCTGAACAGAATACCTAGCTCCTTTTTAGCCCCAACAAAGTTTGTGCCATTATCGGACCAGAGAAACATTGTCTGACCTCTTCTTGAAATAGACCTTTTTAATATTTAGTGATAATGTCACTAGGTGATAAAGTTACTAGAGGTATATAAGGTTTTTTTATCAGGGTGTCGTATGTGTTTAGCGTTGAAGATAATAGCATTAATCCCAAAATACGTATCCGCGAATTTTTAGTAATATTTTGTGGCTTTTTGAGTTAAATATTTTAATATTTTGTAGTTTTAATTTAATGTTCTTAATATAATTTTAAATAGGCAAGATTTTTGATAATTACTTTGTATTATAAATAAAAAAGTGAACAGAGGTAACAACGTTATGTTGCATAAATGAGGTAGCTGAGGAGAACATAATATAATAAAAAAATAGTGCATTAGATGAGAGCATCAATATTGTTCAAAGTGAAGAGGATAGTTAGAAATGATTGGGCCATGATTTAAGGAAAAAACTGACAAAACAGCAAAATTATAAAAAAGATACAGGAAAACCTGAGAAAGAAATGGTTTAAGGTTATTATAAAACGTAAGTGCTGTCATAGTCGATCGTTAATAGTTCGAAGGGAACACGGGAAAAAAGAGGAATAAGATTTCACATTTCAATTATAACTGACTATTTAAGCATTTTAAGTTAAAAGGTTAAGCCAAAATATCGTATTTAATTTTAACAATTTTATCAAAATATTTATTATTTATCAGTAACTGTTTTAAATTTTTCTTTTAGATAATCTGATTACAAAATTGATACCCAAAAGTGAGTAATTCATATAACATATAATATGTTATATTATACTAACAGCCTGATCGTCCAATAGATCGAACAATATTCATACCTTTTAAATTTTTATACACGTCATAAATAAATAAATATACTACAGTATTATTTTCATAATTTATCCGTCAAATTACAATACTAATTATCAAATATCAATTTCATACTAATTTAAGTGCTATAATAAATATTTATATATATATTACATTTATATATCATAAAAATTGTAATCACGATATAGTTAAGGAAATAGGAGATCATGTTGCTTTTGAATTATCCACTTATTTCTTAGAATTAAACACTATTTGTAGATTTGCATCGAAGCGTTTCTAATGATAGTGATTTTAATCACTGTGTAACATATTCTTAACAATAAATAGATTTTTTTTACCACAAATTGTAAAATCCAAAAGTTTAATTTTAAAATTAAATATCCAAAAATAATATATTTAATGATATTAGTATTAATAATTTTAATTATTATAAATGTTGTATTGTATAGAATTAATTTTATATTTTTTCAGACCGAGAAAATATAGAATATGGTAAGTATAATAATATAAGTTTCTTTTTTTCATACGAAATAGGCGTTGGAAAAAAATAATAATTTAATATAAAAGTTATAATTATGTTTAATATAATGAATGATATCATTAACCACTATATTTCCTTTGAGTAACTTATAATTAAAAACAAAAATTTTTGGCGCACTGTATAGTAATTTATTTCTTGATTTATAGGTGACTAAATATTTTTTAGGGCCATCTTATAAGGATACAAACCATATTTTTTAATGATAAAATATCTATTTTACTAGTTTAAATAGACTAGACGATATAACTTAGAACCAATATTTTGACATTTATTAAAACTTTAAAATAAAAATCTTCAATCTTTAATATATACAGGAAATAAATTGTATTTTTACCAAGCACCTTCTGAAAAAAATATAATTCTAACATATTGACTTATAAAATTCCAAAATATTCATAACAAAATATGATTTGTGTTTTTAGCTTTAATTCAAAGCTCAGAATGTATTAATTTTACTATAATGTGTTGTTTTTATGACTGTTGCTACTTTTTCTCAGCTCTCACTCCACCGTTTTCTTTCAACGATACATCAAAAGATCACAAATTGTATCTAGTTGAAGACATTGCACTTAAAAATTTAAAAAAATTCCCTTGTTCTTAGTAAATGGGGGAAATCTCCAAAAAATTACAATTTTAACAATCAGTCCTTTTCAACATTTTTTTCACTTTTCTTTTTCTAAAATCTACCATAATTTTTTTAAATAAAAATTTTATGTATTTTCATTTTATTTGATATAATTTTTTTTTAATTTTGNCAAAAATTAACAAATAAAAATAATTTTTTTAAATAAAATTTTTATGTATTTTCATTTTATTTGATATAATTTTTTTTTAATTTTGACAATTTACTTACCCGAAATGAGGGATTCAAAATAGCNTAAATAAAAATTTTATGTATTTTCATTTTATTTGATATAATTTTTTTTTAATTTTGACAATTTACTTACCCGAAATGAGGGATTCAAAATAGCAAGTTTTTTTTACAAAAGTCAACTTTTTCAACTTAACTTTTGAAAATGTTCCCGAAATACTGCATCTTTTATCTAGGTAAAAAATATTAAATTGATTATAAAACATAATTTTTTTAGGCGAGGCAACAGAAGAAAATATAACTACCCTTGGTGAATATTACTTATACTTTATTTGAATCATAATTTATGATTCAAATAGTTCATATTTGTTAAAGGAAACACTAATTTGAATATTATTTTTAAGTGATGAGTATAAAAGTTTTATTTATTTACTTTATACCCAATATTTTAAAAATCATTGTTAAGATTATTAATTATTATATTTTACCTAAAAAATATTAATTTTTTATTAATCACCATTTTAGATAATGAGAAAAAATTAAGGATAAACGCAGAAGTAGAGATACGTAATTATATAAAGGGGAAGAGTAAATTTTATAACATAGAAGGTATTCATTGTTAAATTTCTAGCACATCAATCACACTCAAAGCACTTTCTATAATTTTATTCGACTACTTTTGTGGTTCTCTTCACTCTATCTCTCTTTCATTCAGTATAAATATTTTCTATTGATATTTCAGAAACACTAGTTGATGACCTCAAACCAGCTGGTAAGTAGTATAATATAAAATATTTTGACAAATTTAAATATTGAAAAGAATTACATAATTTATGATTTAAGTTTGAAATTGATAACGTGTATTTTTTAATTGACTTTTTAACCATGTACCAAAAGTACGGCTAAGGTACCAATGTTGTGTTGTGTTAGTTCAATAACAAAAAAGGTTCTCTGTCAGACTTTGGTTTACTATATTTTATTTGGTTAAGAAATTGGAAAAATAATAGACAGTTTCTTTTTAATACTAATTATTACACGAATTAGCTAGATAAATTAATTAGTCATAGTAGATAGTGACGTCAGAACGTCTTCAGAATATCTATTACACTGTAGTTAAGCTTTTTCAGAAGAATCAACAGTTTAACTCATTATTACAAAACATCATATTTATTTATAAACACATAAATTTTAGACTGAGCCTGATAAATTTAGATATAAGCCTAAGCTCTTGCTTAAGTTAAAGTCAAATATGAAGAAACGTAAAATGTAAAAGCCATTTTCTGAGGGATGGTTCAAAATGTTTTCATACTATCTGTATTTAAATGTATAATGATTTAATAGAGAATAATGATATTATAATATTCTAAAATATATTATTTTAAATTTTTCGTACAATCTGCATTATTTTAATGAGTTATGATAAAAAAATAAATTACAGTAGAGATCCAGAAAAGTGAAGTTAAGCTTTTTAAAGAGTATTGAATGATATCTACAATGATTAAAACTACAATCGTAAAATTCTTCGGTGCATATTTGAAAAAAACGCCTCCTAACATGTAGACTTTACTTAATTAATTTTACTCATATAAATTTCAAGTGATAAAAAGAGCAATAATGAATTTCAGTTTTAAATATTGAAATTATTTTTGTACAGTTTGTTTATATTCTTAAAGGAAACATATTTTATCTGAAAAAAATTAAAATAATATGTAAAAATATTTTTGAAAAACGGTAGCACAGTGTAGACGTAGCATAGTTGGGAAATGTATAGATGATATCTGATAGTGATTAAAATCACTATCATAAAAAACGCTCCGATGCAAATCTGTAGATAGTGTTTAATTAATAGATAGATTATTGAATTATTATTATTTAATTGATAGATTATTCCAAAAGCAACATAATCTCCTATTTCCTTATTTATATCCTGATTACAAGTTTTATGATATATAAATGTAATATATATATATATATAAATATTTATTATAGCAATTATATATAGTATGATATTGATGTTTAATAATTTAGTATAGTAATTTTTATGAAGAAATTATAAAAAATTATAAAGTAGTTATTATTATTATGGTAAACGTGCATAAAAATTGAAGAGCTTGATGCAATATTTTTTTAAAAAATAAATTGTTACTTATGAATTACTACTGGTCTAAAAGGAATTTTTATCAGAGACCAAAATATACTTTTCTAAACCAATTTTTGCGCCTATTTCAAATCTAAAGTTAGATTTGATACTTTTGATACTTTATTAATTAAAATTATGTTTACGTTATGTAATAATGTAAACTAAACGTAATGGAATTATCTTTTCATTAAATAAACAATTAGGATTGGTGTATTACTTTAGTATTTAGTTTAAAAATTGTATTTTTACTCGGTACTGAGAAAGGTATTGTTGTATCTCGCGTTTAATTAGTTTGTACCAAGGTATTAAAAATCTAATCTTTGTCAGTTTGTCACCTTAGTCATTCTGATTATAAAATAAATTAATGAATATTTTTTTATGTTACATGTTTTAGAATCAAGAAAAATAAAATATAGTGTTGTAGTCAAAGATCGATGTAATTATTTTCAACCAATGTTAGAAGAAATAGCGGCGTATGGTAATAAAAATAAATCTATTAATCAAATAATATCAATTTAATAATAAATAATACACATTAGATAAAAAATGCATAGTTTTATTAATATTAATATTTTTGTTTTAATATTAATAGAAAGATTACAAAAAGAATATATAAAGATGTACGGAAGCTGTGCCATATTATAATCACATACGATGTTGTGCTAAAACATTTTTTTATAAATGCCAATACCTTAAATGATTAACATTGATTGTTAAATAATATAATATATTTTATTATGAAATCGATGTCTATAAATAATTATTTTACTTCAATAAAAATTAAAAATAAACTAAATATTAATAAAAGGGACTTTGAGATTTTTTTATTACTTACATTGATCATATTATTTTACTAATATGCTTATAAATCATTATAATATTTGAAAACAATTATTGTTTGATATATTCAGTTGTATCTATAAAATAGTTAATTCAATACACTCAAGTATAATATGATATGAATAAATTGTTCGCGCCAACCGCAAGATTTCGATTGATAGTGTTTGGCGGTATGGGTGTGGTTAGGTGATAGTGTTCGTGCGCCATCAGCTGTTAGGATGTCTTATCAGCGGCCTGTGTCGGACGGTCGTTTTATTCAAAAAAATATATCTATGTACTTTTTGTAAAAATATATAGGTTAAGTTAAATTGGTTTTTCGTATGAATTAGTAAAAAACTTTGTTCAAGTCTCTTTTAAAATATATTGTTCATATTATTATTGTAAATTCATGTAGTTGTTTTCTTTTTTCTTACATTATAAACAATTTTAAATTGATTAGAAATTGTTTTTTGATTATTACTGCCCCTATTTTAAGCCTTACGCCAGAGTTTTGTTTCCCTTTTCATTTAGATTGGGTTTTTTAAAACAGCCTAAGCGGCAACTCACATTATACATAAATATTTAACTGAAAACTTATATCTTTATCATTTTCTTTCGATTTGAATTAATTAATTTGGTAATAAACGACCAATGGGAACAGTAAAAATACAAAAATAAATACATATTCGAACAGCTTTGAAAACAATACAAATATTTTACTACTGAACATATAACATGTGCTTATCTAATTCTAAAACATTCAAAGATATCATTACAAATCACATCAGTGATTTTAACCTGGTTAAGTTATCATAGAAAAAATGAAAATTATTTATAGAATTGTTTGAAATTAACATTCTGTTGATTGAAGCAAATAGACTAATTTTGACGATAAGTAGGTCTATAGAATGTTTTTAGTACACGAATATTGGTTTGAGGGTCGTTTAAAAGTATTTGGCTAAACAATTCAAGACAAATAATTAAATAATATAGTAATTTATATAACCAAGTCATATCGTATAATTTTCTTCTTTTTTCAAGCGACCGAATGCTAAACTTTCTCTTGGTCGTTTCTCTAGCGAAACGATAGTTTTGTTGGCCTTAAATGCAAATACTCTCAAAAATCGAATTTGAACAAGTTCAATTTAATTAATTTATACAGTTTAATAAGGAATCCAAATAACCGAACCATATTGCAGTTTGGGTTGGACTAGAGTGGAGTATAATAATTTAAGGATATAAGGATTTTTAAATTCTGACAATTACGCCTTACAAAATTGAATATTCGAAAAGCTTAATTACACGTTATTGTTATGTGATTATTAGACAATAGATCACTTGATAGTTGAATAACTGAGGTTTTTATCTGGGTTTAGATTTAGATTTAGCGAATTGTGAGTTGTTTATTTTATAATGAAAATGTAAATTTGATGTACGTCGCGAAAAAGAAATTTGCGATCAATTCTGAGCATTAACCNTCGCGAAAAAGAAATTTGCGATCAATTCTGAGCATTAACCTTCAAACCGTTCATCGAACACCACTGATAATAGCAATCTAAGTCCGCTTGTAATATTATCAGTCCTCATGTGACTAATTAGGCATATATAGTTTTAAGTCGTCCGCGAACAATAAGAAGTGGCTAATTTTAAAGATATCTTTAACATAATTCACAAAAATTATGAATAAGAAGGGTGATAAATGCCCACCTTGGGAACCCCTGATGTAACATTTATAGTCAGCGAGACAAAATTACTTAACATGTTGCGTTTTACCATTCAAGTACGTGTTAAGTCAACTGAGCATTTGTCCACCAATACCAATACATTTTAATTTTTTTACCAGAATAAACAAATTGACACTATCAAATGATTACATAATATCGGTGTACACAGCATCATCTTGTACACCTATCTGAAACTACTTTGTCAAATTTTTATGTAAATTTGGGTACTAACATTTTTTCAAAAACGTTTGACAATGAAACTAATTGTGAAATAGAACCAGGCGCGGATTCAGGATAATTTTTTGGGGGGGGCCATTGCATATCATATAATTACCTTATATATATGGCGCATTCCATACCAGAAAAGGTTTTAAGGTCGACCTCTCCAATTTTTTTGAAAACTTTTCATGTTTTTAATACCGTCAAAAAACACCTTCATGAATTTTTTCAAATTTTTTTGATCACTCGTATCTTAGATATTGATTATTTCCAAAATTCAAGGTTTTTTTTTCAAATAGCAATAATTTTGCAAAAAATACAGTTACCGGGGTTCTGTTATTTTTCAAAATTTTTGTTTTTTAATGTTCTTTTAAGAAAAAAATGCTTCTTTGATCTTTATTAATTTATTTATAGTTTTTTTTAAGTTTTAAGCAAAAAAACTACTTTTTCGAAATGTATGCCCCTTTTGATTTTTTTAAAAAAATTCTCAAGATAAATTTTACCCTACAGATAATAATTTATGTTTTTGGTTATTAATTCAATTGATCTACCGAAATAATATAAATAGTAAATAATAAATATTTCTGTACATTTTTTATCTAAATCAACTTTCTGACAAAAAAACTTAATAATCAAGATACATAAGTAATGCCATTTATTACATTTTTTGTATTATGCAAGTTATACATAAATTATAAAGCAAAATCTAATTTTCTATTGGATTTTGAAAATCTATCAATCACTTTAGTGACCTCTACATTAATATCACGATGAATGTTCAAAAGAGCAAGTCCAGTTAATCTTGTCTCTGACATAGTTGACCGGAGCCATGTTTTTAGTCTTCGTAGTGTGGAAAATGTCCTCTCAGCACTTGCATTACTTATTGGAAGAGTAATAAAAACAGTTAAAAGACGATTAATTAATGGAAATATTTCTTCGTCACAATTTGCCAGAATTTTCGTTACACATATGGAATTGATCAAATTATTTTCAATTTTTTCTCGATTCCATTTTTGTTTCCATAATTTAAATTCCAAACGTAATAAAGAAGAAACATCTCCTTTTTCATTTGAAAGAAGTATCTGAAATTCATCTGCTATTGTTTTAATAATATCGTCTGATTCATTTAATGAATATGAAGTTGAATTTTCCTTTAAAAAATTTTCAGGAAGTAAATATGAAAGATTAAAGCAACTAAGTGTTTTATGTGAAAAACGTGATTTTAAATCATTAATGACATTATCTAACAAAGGAATAAACACAGTTAATTTATAATACTCTTCTGTATTATTGGTTGAATAATTTGCACGTTTCGTTTGTTTTATAGAATATCTTGGAATTTTCAAATCAATATTTTGTTTTTTAGCCAAATCCTCAGATAATTTATAAATTTCTTTGAAATCAGTAGAAACATTTTTTCGACATTCTGATAGAATACTCAAAGTGTCTTTCATTATATTGGCTGCTTCGTGTAAATCAAGACACTTTTTTTGAAAACATTTACTGAGTGGAAGAGTGTAGCTAAGCATATGAGAGAGACTACAAAGTGAAATTATAATTTCACTGTCACATAGTACTGTTGCCAGGGACTTTGCTTTTCCTGAAGTATTCAAGTCTCTCCAAGTTGTTATTTCTAATAGTGCTTCAATAATGTTGGGCATATCCTGCATAAAACTCATCACGCCTTCATGTCTTTCGACCCATCTTGTTTCACATAAACCAACCAATTGATGTCCGACGTGTTTTTTTAAAACAAAAGTTCTTTTAGCAGATGCAGAAAAAAATGAAACAACTTCTTTAATTACTCCAATTAGATTTCTAATACTTTTCACGCGTGAAGATTGTGATATAGAATTATTAAGTGAATGATTATAACAAGGACATCTATGGGCATTAGGTGCAACTTTAATGATTTCACTATCAGCTCCACAAAGTTCTGACAGCATTACGCTACATCCATCAGTTCCTATTCCCACTAAATTGTTCAAATCAAGGCCAAAACTATTTAATTGCTTGATAATAATTTTACCAAGAACTTTTCCGGTTATTGAAATTTCTTTTTTTTCCCTATCATTATCACCAATTTCCTTATTTTCTTCAGGTTCTTCTAGTAAAGCTAAAGCTTCGTCAAAAGCATCTACAAACATCACGAAATCTTCCCTTACTGAATTGTTATAAATATATCTTAAAACCAAACTAATTTGTGAACGCTTTGACACATCCAGAGTTTCATCAAATATAATACTATAAAAACCACTGTCTTTTGTAATTCGTGATAGAATTTGATTTAATATTTCTTTAGCACAACATTCAATAATTTCATTTTGTATAGTTTTACTAATATATGTGGCCTTTGAAGAACTGTTTTGAAGATGGTTTTGAAGAATTCTGTCACCTGATTTAACTCGAAACTTCAAAAGTTCTCTAAAATTTCCTTCATTTAAACAAGAAATTTGATTATCAGAATTAGTCGATGATATTGGTAGTAACATACCGTCATCCCTGTGTCCTCTAAGTGGAATATTTTGTCGACATAAAAATATAATACTTTCGACAATTGGAATAAGCCGCAATCTATTCTCATTAACTTCTTTCAAACGTTTTGTATTCAGTAAGTTATGTATTTCTAAGTCTGGGTTATGATAAGTTTTCAAAAAACTTTTACTGAATTCTACAGCTTCCTTATGGTACAGTGTTTTTTCATGATGTATTAAATCTCCTGTTTCACCCATGATTTTAGCAAATTTAGTTAATGGCTGAGTTACAAATTTAAGTAAGTTAACATTTTTCTGAAAACCACCTTTGTTTTGAATATTAAAAATTGGACAATATTTACAGAATAATCCTTTTTGCGATGGAGAAAATACAAGCCACTTGAAAGAATTTAAATGTTGATGACCGACATAACGACGTGTCTGTTTTCCTCCTTTTATATGTTCTGAATAAGGAAATATGTAATCTTTCGGAGGTAACCAAGGATTTTCGAGAAGCTGATGTTTTGTAAAATCATCAATAGCCTTCCCAATGTATTGACCTATATCATTAGAGTAAAATGTTTGTGG